CATCATTTTGGATCCTGGGGGCTTCTCTGGTGGTTCAGACAGTAAAGAATCTGCAGTGCTTGAGACCCAGATTCCATCCCTGGGTCGGGAAGATGCCCTGGAGAAGGGGATCTGCTGCCCATTGCAGTTTTTTTCGCCCAGAAAATTCCACAGACAGAGGAGTCTCGTGGGCTTGCAAAGAGTTGGACACGACTGTGTGACTAACACTAACGCGATTTTGGAGTCTGAGCTTTTGGAGGGATGCGTGGCTGTACATGTGAGTTCAAGGCCATCAGAGCTTCAGAAAACCACAGTGTAGCTGATAACCAGGGGAAAGACAACCCAGTCTTTCCGGATTCAGGCCTCTTGGTCTCAGGACCTGTTTCTACTCTTAACAACCATTGTGGGGACCGCAGAAGGCTTTTATGTTGTGGATTGTATTTATTGATATTTACCATACTAAAACTAAAACTCAGGTGATTTAGAAATATTTACCTCTTTAAAAATAACACACATGCATTCCATGTTGATACAAACAACATTTTCATGTAAAGAAAGGGACTACATTCCACACCTGAAAGTTGTAGGTGAGGGGAGTTACCTCATTTGACTTTTTTTGCAAATCTGTTTAATGTCTGACTTAGATGATGACAGATACATTCTTAACTCCGCTTCTGCATTCAGTCGTATACAAGAAAATCAGTTTCAGACAGAGGTGGTTCGAAGAGGGAGGCGCCTTTGTGATAGTCTTATTCTTTGATTTCATACCCAGACCCAACCAATGGTAGTTTCTTCAAGGTCAGTTGTAATCTGAACCCATATTGGTGAACTTTTTTTGCACTGTTAGGTTAACATCCATTGGTTTTCCTTCCACCTTGAATGGCTGTCTTACCCACACAGTTTTATAATGTCTTATATCGGTCATTTGAAACTAACAGTTCACTGGGTTAGCCACCCCTTCCAGTTGTCGGCACCTTCTGGTATGCTGTATCGAAGAATCGCCTCTCTGTACTAAAGTCATTGGCAAAGTCTTTAAGTTTTGAGAGGCTTTCAGACTCATGGTGGCAGACACAGGTTTTCCAAGATTGTCATTTTTGCCTGAAGTCATGAATTCTATCATTGGCAGCAAAAACTGTTAGTTACTTTATCCTTGACAGGCTCACTTTATTCGTTTTTGAGAAAATAGCTGACAAATAACTATCTCAGTTGTCCTTTCAAATAAAAACAGCATGCCATGAGAAAACACAGCTAGCTTGCAGCTTACTCTCAGAAGTGCTTTTCCCTAGAAATAGTCGTCACACTGATGTTAAGAAGTGCCTCTGTGTGTGGCTCCATTTTGTCACACACAGTGTGTGTGTACTCAGGAGTTGAGATTTAATGCTGTGAACAATTCTATTATCACTTTCTGAACTGAACTTTTTTTTTAACTGCTAGTAACTGGTAATGAAGAATACAGTATTTATTCATATACTTTGGTGCCACTGCATTGATTTGTGTTAAATATTGCCACTTGGTGCTGCTGTTTATATTTTTTAAAGTTTTATAGAGATGTAATTTACGTATCATAAAATTGAACCACAGTGAACAGTTTAGTAGTTTTTAACATTTTCACGAGTTGTGTGGCCATCACCACAGTCAACTCGAACATTTTCATTGCTTTCACCCTGAAAAATTTGTACCCATTAGGAGTCATTCCCATTTCCCTGAACCCTCCCCAGCTCCTGGCAGCTGTGAACATACTCTGTCTCTTGTTTTTCTAAAATAATTCTGTTTGTTCATTTATTTGACTGTGCTAGGTCTTTGTTGCTGTACAGGCTTCTCTCTCGTGCTCAGGGCAGGTACTCTCGTCATGGTGTGTGGACGTCCCATTGCAGGGCCTTCTCGTGGCGGAGCCCAGGCTCAGTAGGTGTGGCTCACAGGCTTAGTTGTTCCTAGGCACATGGGATCATTCCTCAGCGGGGATCGAACCCGTGTCTACTACAGGCTGATTCTTTACCACTGGACCACCAGGGAAGCCCCTACTTTCTGTCTCTCAGGTTTGGTCATTTCGTATGAATGGAATCCTGCAGTAGGTGGCCTTTCTTTCACCTCCCATAATGTCTCCCAAGATTTCGCCCGTGCTGGAGCATGTGTCAGTACACAGTTCGTTTTTACAGATGTATAACACCTTGTTTTGTTTAGCTAAATACCAGTTGATGAACCTTCAGATTTTTTTTTCCAGTGTTCATTATTAATATTTCTGCTCTGACCATTTGTTTGCACGTTTGTATGTGGACTTAATTTTCGTTCCTCTTACGTTCATATCTGGGAGTGGAGTTGCTGGGTCATGTGGTAACCCTGATTTGAGGAACGTCCAGACCATTTTCCAGAGTGGCTGCAGCAGTCTGCATCCCTACCTGCAGGGAATGAGGATTCACTCTTCGTCCTTACCAGCTCTAAAGTCTTTGTGAGCACAGCCCTCCTAGGGGATGTGAAGTGGTGGTTCATGGTCATTTTGATTTGCATTTTCCTGATGGCTGATCTCTCATTAGCTATCACCATCATTGAAATAATACCAACACACTGAAAAAGGGAAATACTTTCAGTATAATTATGAAAATATTTTTGACCTAGGAGATCCCATGAAAGGGTCAAGCCATTCATTAAGCTGGTAGAAAATGTGGGCTATGGTTTCAGCGTTTTATTTCTCCTTGCATGGACAGGACATTGGCACCACCTCCGTTTGCCCATGAAATGGTTATTGGGAGGCAGTGGGAGGCAGCCAGCCTCCAGTTGAAGGTTGCGGGAGGTCTGCTCAGGCTTGCTGTTGGGATGTGTTGAAGCCCATTCTTCTGCGTCGTCGGGGAGGCAGGAAGAGGTCTTGTCCCAATCTGAGTGTAGTAACCCAAGATGGACGTTTTACAGAAGCAGCAGGTAGGTCTTCCCAGACAGCTTCCATTCAGGAGCATGTGGTCCCCAGCCTCTGTGAGGAAACCGAAGATCCACACAGTTTGCCCACATGGTAGGGCTGGGAATTGAACGGCTCATATAGCCTTGTGAAAAGGAACCGACCCCCAGAATAAATTTTTGTAACCAAAATTTTTATAACTGGAGAAGTCAATTCTAGAACTGGTACTTCTGTAATAGCAGACTGCTCATCTTTGTGGCAATAACAAAGCTCAGAAAAATATGAAATATTTAAGATGAAAAAGAAAGATGAAACTTCTATACTGTTTTTCAATAAAGAATGTGCTCACTGCCTTAGAAAATTGGTGAACGGTCAAGAATTGCCTGGATTCATGCTCCTTGGCTTGCTTTTTACTCACGTTGACGTATGGCGGCTTATGGGTGTTGCTTCTAATTTGTCTGGAAAGCAAGTGCAGATACTGCCAGCGTGGGTCTGATGGATGGATTCCAACACGTGTAGTTCCTTTCACTTAGAATAAATGCCAGCCATTTCGAAGCTCTCCATTTTTCTGAAACAGAGTATCAGACAGAGCCTTGCACAACATGGGTCATATACCCTGTTTTGATGTGTCACATGGGCTTTTGGATTGAAAGTCTAGTTATAGTGTGTGGTCGCTGGGGGTGGGGGAGATCAGGGTTTACATCCAGTCCAGGTACAGAAAACGTGAATCTTTTAATTATGCCATATACAATGTAATAACACATGCACTAAAGATGCAAATCTAAATTGAATCAGAAAACAATTAGAAAACTCAAGGATTATCTTACCAACTGAGAATATAGGAATGACTTTCTAAGCAAAGTTTAAAAAGTCGGTTAGCCAATTTAGCAACATAACAGATGGAAAAAGCAAATAAGAGGAAACTATCTGCAATCTGAGTCATAAGTGTAAAGGATGCTTATACAAATGGGGGTGACAAAGAAAGCGTTCAAGGCCCTGAGAAGGGCCTCTCAGAAGACAGATGTTATCTCGTGGCCCTGCATGTTGAACTTCCATGTCTTTAAGCTTCAGAAAAAAGTTTCAGCTCAGAGGAGAAGGGTGCAGCAAGGCAGGCTTGACGTGCAGGTGCTTGATGGGCAGGGGGACACAGTGACCTTTCCAGGCTGCTTCTGTCGGGAAGTGCTCCAAGAGCCTTTTTAAAATGGGAGCCAGTAGGGCCCACTGGCTTCCCCAGATGTTTGCCTGGAGCCCATGGGGCCCGGCAGGCCACCCACAAGTCTGTCCAGGAGTGGAGTCCCAGCTGTGAGCAGAGGAGAAGACTCAGGGCAGTGTCACCATGGCGTTGCCTGTAAAGACCCCGAGCTCGTCTCCGCTCCCTGAGGGTGGGGGGTGCAGCGGGCACGTGGGGAGCTGGCTCTGAGCGCCACCTGGCTGTCAGGGAGGCGGGCTTCGCAGCCAGACCTTCTGATGGCGTCCGCTGTGAAATGGGCTTGAGGGCAGGTCTGGTCCCTTTGCGTTCAGAGGCTGAGTGACTGCTCGGCTTCTCTGTGGCCCCTGGGCTGAGAGCAAGCACTTCACACTCGTAGGTGTTGTGACCCCTGGAGTAGAAAGGGCTCCCGAGCCCTGCTTCCCCTCTTCTCTGGTCACCAAGGAGTCGGCATCCTGACCCGTGTCCGCCAGCCAGATCTGCAGCCTCACATGCCTTAAACTCTGGATCTTCTGTCTTCATGCATGAGGTGGTCATGCTCTTGGAATGTGACCACAGTTGGTTTTTTCATTTTAATTCTCTTTTTGTTTAAGGCGTGATGTTGATACTCTAAGGGCTACTGTATATTTGTGCGTATGCTTACTTTTTTGTAGCGTTTTTTTTTTTTAAAGTGGATTTTCCAGTTGTTTCAACCAAAGCTCCTAATTCCTAAGTTGCATTGATAACTTTTCTTTGGGTTTCTCTGTGTTTAGGATTATTCCTCTCATTTGTGGTCATTTTGTCTGGAGGTTGGGTCTTGAGAGCCTGTGAGATGTGATATTTGTCCTGCGTGTCTTCCTTTTCGCTCTCCTCCTGTCTGCAGGGGTTTGGGGTACCTGGCAGCAGGCTGCATCCTGACTCTCTTCTTCCTCCCTCCTTCCTTTCCAGTTTTCAATGGTTCCAGCAGGTCGTCCCGGGAGAAGGACCCTGTTCAGAAACACAAAAGCAAAGAGGCCACTCCGGCGAAGGAGAAGCACAGCGATGCGCGGGCTGACGCCCGGAGGGAGCAGGTGTCTGTGAGCCACCCCCCCGCCGCCCCCCTCGCGGGCTCCTCGGCCAAGGGGCTCACCGCTCACCACCACCACCCGCCTCTGCATCGGTCGGCTCAGGACTTACGGAAACAGGTGAGGACCGGCCCTGCCATCCGGAGACCAAGGCCTGGCCCAGAGGTGTCAGCCCTCCCGCCCGAGGCCACATCCCCCTTTCACCAAACTCACTGAAGGGGAATGTGAGGAGTAGCCCGAAGCACGGCATGTTTCCAGGGCTCAGGAAGCAGGAAGGGATGCTCAGAGGTGAGAGGACTGTGACCTGGACGGGCGGCCAGTGCCCACGCCTCTCTTTGGATGAAGACGAAGGAGGGGGGCGTTGCTGGCGTCGTGTCTCCCCAGAGGGTGCTGCCGGGGCCGCCACCCTTGTGTGCTGGGGTGTCCTGGAAGGGCAGCGAGAGGACGTCCCCCCATTAACCCTGCCCCGCACCAGGGGAGCCCAGGGGTCCTCAGGTGAGACTGGGAGCCACATGTTGCCCTGCAACAGGTCTGCAACCGGCCTGGATGTGAACTGTCGCTGGTGGCATGTTGGCAGCTTGTGGCAGGACTTCTGAGTGGCTTGCAGACAGTGATGAGATGGGGTGTGGCCGCGGGGGACATTCTCCCCGTCCCTCGCCCCGAGGCCGCACATACTCTGCCCTCCCTGCCCCTCACCCCCACCCCTCAGCAGATTCCAGGGTGAGATCCAGACCCCCGATCCAGTGGGGGCACCTGTTCCCGCCCTTGGATGAGATTTCTCAGGACCCGGGAGGGCGGCAGTAGGGATGAGAGGGGCCTGGCGGCGCAGCGAGACAGGCACCTGGATCCGGTGGCATCTCGTTAACCCCTCTGCTCCTGTTGTCACCGCATCGGTGAGCTCACCTCCCCGGGAATTGTATCACATACAGTTACAGTTGCCCTTAGTGATACGGGTGGACTGGAGATTCCCTGGCAGGCAGTGCGTGGAGTGACTAAAAGATGCTCTTTGTTGTGTGAGGGTTGGAATTCCTCCTCCTGCTGAATTGTTCCTTCCCTGTGGTCTTTCTTATTCTTGACAGTGTCAGGAACTGTTGTCTCCAAACGTGTGGCTGTTCATGCACATACAAAGGACTGTGTGCATGCACGAGTATTATTAGTCTTCACCACGAGCTGTCAAACATTACTCAGTTGTCAGTTGGAGTGGACAAGGCAGGCATCCTCGTGTTTATGTTTCCACAGTCCTGAGATCGCCACTTCATGATTTGACATGTTACCTTGAGATTAAGCAAGTGGGCTTTGCATATTGCCCACTGAAGTTCCTGCAACACAAACTTCAGTTTTCCTCATGAGAACACTTGAGCATGGAATTGGCCTTCCCAAGCTGGATTCCCAGTTTTCAGGATGTAAAGTGCAGGACACACTGTCCATTTGGTGTCTTGAGTCCTCATTCCTTTTTCAAAGCTGTTGTCCAGACTGGTCCTTGTGCAGAACTTCCTCTAGATCTTTGCTTATGAAAGAGAACAATTCTGAAGGGGTCCGGAGTGGAAAGGGACCCATCTAGGGAGCAGAAATCTCAGGGTGGATTGAATATCTCTCTCTTACTTTAAGACTCATGAGGCTAGGTTGAGTTACCACCCCCACCCCCCCCACCCCCACCCCATCTCGGTTGGTCCAGACTCATCCTCAACCCCCAGCGCCTGCCCCTAAGTTCAGGGTTTCCCTTTATCAATGAACAAGAGGGGGTCCTGCAGTTGGAGGTGAGAATTGAGGGAGCAGAAGGCACCCCCTGCCTTGGGATGGCCTCAGCCCCTGCTCCACAGCAGGCTGTCCACCTGGAAGTAGGTGAGAGACCTAGGCAGGGCAGACGCCGTCATCTGCGTGACTGCAGGAGCCTGGCTGGTTTGCGGGTCCAGGTCTTGTAGGAAGGGCGTCTCCTGCCCTCCCTCCCCTGGGATGGGATGGGATGGGATGGGATGCCCCGGGTGGGATGACCCAGGACTCCCAGTTCTAGCTGGGCTCTGAGCGTGATCTTCACCGAGACTTAGGCTGTGATAGTTAACCTGCCTGGGCCCTATTGTTCATTTGGAGCCAGTGATGCCAGCTCCTCCCAGGGACATTGTGGGACATGAAAGGGTGATTTTGATACCATCAAATCCCATTAGTTAAGTACTCTGGGGGGAGGGAAAAAAGGGTAACTAGAAGCCAATTGTAGATTCCTTTGTAACAGCCTGACGCAAGTGATTAGAATCTGACCTTTCATCTTTTCAACTGCATAAAACACGGAGGCCCAGAGAATACTTGGATCTGTAATCTCAGATATGGTTAATTTTTTCCGTCGGCCTGAAAGAAAAGATCAGGGGTTGTATGAAATGTGGGGGACCCCGGCGTGGGGTGCTGGTGCCTGCCGGCCCCTGGGCCCCGAGAGCTCACTCTGCTGTGGACAGCCCCGGGGCTCGTGTGTGCTGGGTGGGTGCCTGCCTTCCTGAGAGTCCTCCCCGGGGCTCAGAGCACGAGAACTCGGGGTGCGGGGCCTCATCTGTCTTCTGGCTCCTGTCCTCCCAGAGCTGCCAGGCGGCCCAGGTGGCGCAGGCGTGTGTAACAGCCCTGGGACTGCTCCCCGGCTGAGACTTGGACGTGTGGTAGGTGTTTGAGGAGGGAGCATCTCTTCAGAGTAGTGCGTACGTGGTGTGCAGCGAGACAGGAACGAATTTAGGATGAAGAAACAACGGTTCTTAAACCTGGATGGGGTTTGGAAATGGTTTCCAGGCGTGGTGAGGAGGGTTTTGCATCTGGTGGGGTGTGGGTAGGGAGCCAGGATGCAGTCGCTGTGGTTGGTGAGCTGCGCCCGGCGTGTCTCCCCCTGTTCTCATCTGGGCGCTGAGGCCGGCCGTCACAGGCAGGAGGGAACCCGCTCGCGAGGGCAGGGCGGAGGGACTGCTGAGCTGTGGTGCCTCTAGGAAAGGTGCTCATGGTCATGTGTACGGCGGTTGCAAAAAATCTTAACCAAGTAAGGTGGAGTGAGAAAGTTGAGCTTTTCAGATTCTCATTCAGAGAATGAGGAATATTCTTTAATATTCTGGAAAATGATAAACAAGCGTCCAAAGAGAGATGTGAGAGGCTCACCTTGGCTGGAAGAACATTTAAGGTCTTCGTCAGGTCCTGCGGGAAGTCCGCATTGCTCTCTGTCCCCCGGGATGTGTGATTCAGCTGGGGGGCCTTAGGAGGGCGCTGGTGCTGTGGAGACCTCAGGGCCTGACGGGGATGTGTCAGCCTCGTCCCTCTGCTCACTGATTGCTAGGGGCCCGCCATGCCAGCAGGCCTGCCCTTCCGCCTGTAACTCTGCTGCCCGTCCAGCGGATTCTGTTCGTTTAGGCTCATGTGCTTTTTAAGTTGAATTTTGAGGTCCATGCACGTCCCCAGGCCGCAGTGTTTCTCTCGGGCTCCTTTGGCGCTCGCAGAGCCACTCGACTCAATAGCTCCCTCTAGTGGGAGATGGGAGCGTGGCAGTTGAATTCTGGTTGAACCGAGGACAGCTGCGTGTCTGTGCACCTGGGGTTGCCAGAGCTACAGTGCCGGGGGTAGCAGTGGGCCAGCACCCCACTTCCTGCAGAGCTGGGTGACGAGGCGTCATTCCGCGCCCCCCAGTCTAGCCCAGCGGCGGCTCCTGTTGTGGGCCTGTCGCCATTCTTTGGAAATTACTGTTTTTCGGGTGTCTCCCCTGTCACCCCCTGGCTCCTCTTTATAAATGAGGGAGGCTTCTGTGTCACAGAATCAGCGTGGTGTCCGGGCTGTAAGACGGTGAAGAGCGACTGACCGTTTGCCCAGGTCCCAGAGCCAACTGGACGTTGACAGAGGCGGGAGGTGGCAGCCTCCTGTGCAGAAGAGGCTGGGGCGTCAGAGACGTGAGGGGCGTCCAGTGAGGCACCAGGTGACAGACGAGTCGAGGGTGACACACAGATGCCCACTGCTGGCAGCTGCCCTTCTGGGTGTGGGCATCTGAGCCCCACGAGCGTGCTTGTTCTTTTCTTCCTATGGCATTTTTTATTTCACTGTTATTTAGTGTGGATTTTTACAGTCCTGTGGGTAGATCATGCTGAAATATCTGGAGCAAAGAAAAAGAACAACCATCTTTTTTTGAAACAGGGATGTGTGTGGGTGTGTGTGTGTAACCATGTCTTTTCTTGGAACAGGGGTGTGTGTGCATGCACACGTGTGCACCTGTCCCCTCATCAGCACAGCCTTGTGATGGTGTTGCTGTTATTGACCTGTTATTGACTTGTGTTGGGTGATTGGCAGATAATGTGGAGGGCCCTCACTGGGAAATAGACTGTGTGGTTTGCATGCCTTTGCTGGGACTCCCGTGTCCCCTCCTCTCACCAGCAGGCGCAGCTGTTGAGTGTGGGCCTGGGGCCGGGGTCCCCTGTGCACAGACACTGATTGCTCTCTGCTCCTCCTGACGCCTCCAGGTTTCTAAGGTCAATGGAGTCACCCGAATGTCATCTCTGGGTACAAGTGCAACCAGTGCCAAAAAGATGCGCGAAGTCAGACCTTCACCGTCCAAAACTGTGAAGTACACTGCAACGGTGACGAAGGGGACTGTCACATACACCAAAGCCAAGAGAGAACTGGTCAAGGAAACCAAACCCCATCACCACAAGCCCAGTTCCGCTGTCAACCACACAATCTCAGGGAAAACTGAAAGTAGCAATGCAAAAACCCGCAAACAGGTGCTATCCCTCGGGGGGGCGTCCAAGTCCACCGGGCCCGCCGTCAATGGCCTCAAGGTCAGTGGCAGGTTGAACCCAAAGTCGTGCACTAAGGAGGTGGGGGGGCGGCAGCTGCGGGAGGGGCTCCGGAACTCCAAGCGGAGGCTGGAGGAGGCACCCCCAGCCGACAAGCCGCAGTCGCCCCCCAAGAAGATGAAGGGGGCCGCGGGCAGTGCCGCCGAGGGCCCCGGCAGGAAGGCGGCCCCGGGCCCCGCCGAGAAGGCGCCGCTCGGGGGCCCCGGGAAGAAGGAGGCGCCCGAGCGGAGCCTGGAGAGGAACCGGCCCAAGCGGGCCGCGGCTGGCAAGGGCCCGCCGGGCAGACAAGCACATGGCAAGCCCGACGGCGGCGCCCCCTGTGAAAATCGTTCTACCTCGCAATCGGAGCCCCTGCCCCGGCCGCACGAGGGGGCGGCCAAGGCCGAGAAGGGGGCCAGCAGGGCCGGGTGGGCGGCCATGGACGAGATCCCCGTGCTGCGGCCGTCGGCCAAGGAGTTCCACGACCCGCTCGTCTACATCGAGTCGGTGCGCCCTCAGGTGGAGAAGTACGGCATGTGCAGGGTGATCCCGCCCCCGGACTGGCGGCCGGAGTGCAAGCTCAACGACGAGATGCGCTTCGTCACGCAGATCCAGCACATCCACAAGCTGGGCCGGCGCTGGGGCCCCAACGTGCAGCGGCTGGCCTGCATCAAGAAGCACCTCAGATCTCAGGGCATCACCATGGACGAGCTCCCACTCATAGGTAAGGCCCGTGGCGGCCGGCCCCAGGCCAGCTCCTCGGGGCGCGTCTGAGCCCGGGGGAGTCAGAGCCCCGCTTTCTGCAGGTCAGGGTGATCCTGTGCCCCCCCCCCCCCCCCCCCCCCCACACACACACATTCAGCCACACCTGCTGGCCGCCTGGCCTCAGAAGAGAGGGGCAGAACCCCTGCCCCACCCCTTCATCTGCTCAGGCTGCCTTAACCAAGTACTGCAGCTGTGGGCTTGACCTGCAGGGAGTCAGTTCCCTCGGTCTGGAGCCTGCAAGCCTGAGAGCAAGGTGCTGGCGGGGTTCGTTTCTCCCGAGGCCCCTCTCTGCCTTGTGGACAGCTTCCTTCTCCCGTGTCCCCACCTGTTCTTCTCCGCACACAGATTCCTGGCGTCCCCTCCTCTTGTTAAAAGGACCCTGGTCACATGGGGTCAGGGCCCACCCCGATGACCTCATTTTACTTTCATTACCGCTTTAAAGACTGTCCCTAAACATGGCTACACTTAGGGCCTCTGTGTGTGACTGACTATGGGTGCGGGGGCGCTTCAGCCTTTTCTCTCTCTCCCCTCTTCCTTCCTTGCCTTTCAGTTTTCCCAGTCATAACCGGGTCCCGGTGGAGCCCCATAAGTCCCGGAACACTGTGGACCCGAGCGCAGACACAGCTCTGCGCCTAAGCTGTGCTTGCCTCAGTCACTGCTTTTGTGAACAGGCCAGCTGGCGTGGTGAGGGCCGGGCCCCAGGCAGAGTGCACGCATGGCCCTCCTGGAATCCCCGTCTCCCTCTTCCTCTGTGGGTTCTAGCACCTCCAGGATTAAGCCCCTCCGTTGGGGTAAGCTGGTTCCGTGGAGTGGTGAGCTCACATGCTTCCCTTCCAGCTCGGGACCCTGGACAGGAGCAGCACGGGGCCTGCCTCCAGATTGGAGCAGCCTTTTGAAGGCCAGGAGCAGAGGGGCCGATGTCCATCATTTAGGTGTTGGGGTGGGCTGTAAGATAGGTTTCCTTGCACAATGGAGGTTTCACTATTACTCTCAGCAGATGAGAATCGCTTAAATTGAAAAAATGCTTGGTTTGTGGTCCTCTGTCACAGATGTGATTGGAGGTGATACAGGCTTGGGAACAGGCTGAGGTGTCGGCATCTTGGGAGTACATTGTGGGCTGCACGGGAGACCCGGAACTATAGTGGGGGCAGCGGGTCTCCTCAGTTACAGTCAGGGCGTCAGGTGATGTCAAGGGGGCACCGATTTTCCGTTCAGAGTAGGTTTCCTGAACCTCAACCCCATGGCACCAGAAGCCACGAGGATGTGACTGTGGGGTGTGTTCACACCGTTGCTGTTGGCCCAGGTGTGAAGCCCCGTCCACGTGGGAGGGGAGCTGGCTGGCCTGTCACCCACCTTGGGTCTTGGCTCTGAGCTCATCCTCCTTACAGCGTGAGGGACTTAGTTTTGAAGGAAGTTTCCCAGAATCCATAGAAAGTCTGCTCCTTCTCTGGGAAGGTGGTGCTTTGTCCCAAAGCATCCTTGTGGCCCTGAGAGTGAGTTGATGAAACCAGGAGAGGAGTGACATGGTGCCTTTGTCAGTACTGGTCAGGTTTTCTGTGCTGTTGGCTTACAACAGCGGCCTCCTTTCTGGTCAGTCTCTGATCTGACCCACCTCCCCATCCACCTCGGCAGGTCCGGGAGGTGCCCTGAATGAGAGCAAGGCCTGCTGCACATGTTGGAGTCTTGGGCCTTAGGCCCCTGCTGGCCAAGGTCAGGACAGGTCTCCTCCTTGACGTGGCCCCTGCTGCCCTAGGGCTTCAACCAAGCAACCAACCAGCGTCCCCCTGGCACAGCAGATGGACTTGGGGTGCCACTCTCCCGTCCCTGGCTGTGTTGGCCGGGCTGGACCTCTGTTCCTGATGCTGTTCTCAGGAGTCCTATTGCTTTTCCTTTCCTTTATTTTATATAAATGTGTCCCCACCCTCTAAAGAAACAGTCTTAACGTTTACTTTGCTCAACTAGCATTCTGTGGGATGTTTATCTTCTAACAGCCGGTGGACGATTATTCTGGAAGATTTTTCCTTTTTATTGGTCAAAGGGTTTTTGCTTTTCCAGTTCCCATCGGGGGACAGTCATTGGGCGGCACTCACATGTCTCTGAATTTTGTGCAGTCTCGTGTCTCATGGTTTCTGCAGTTTGATCGAGAGACCAGTGAGAACCAGCCCACACACCTTCAGAGATGAGCAGGGCTCTGTGTGAGCAGCGGTGGGAGGAGCTGAGGGGCGGACAGACTCCCGTCTGCCCTCAGGGGGGCCGTGCCCACTGCCTGGACATCCCGGGGGCTGAAGGGAGGTTACCACGCATGTGTGCGTGCGTGTGCATGCGGTGGGGGAGGGTTGGGAGGGGAATTAGAACTGACGGCCCGCTCTGGATGTGTACAATCTCTGATCCCACAGCCGCTCCCGGCGCTGCTGGGCTACAGAGGTGACCCGAGGGCACAACCCAGGCCCTGCCAGCCCTGCAGGGAAGCCCTGCTCCTTGAGCTGTACCCCCCGCCTCCGGGGGCGTGAGGGGCGTGCACCTCGCCCCTGCCCCAGCCATGCTGGGCTCTCCCTCCCTAGGGACCGACTCTCCTTCCATTCAGGCCTCTGCCTAAGTGCCTCCTCCTTGGGCTCCCTGCCCAGACCACCCTCCTGTGTCAGTCGCCCCTCAGCCTGTCCTGGTCTGTCTGTCATCACCCTAGTGCTGAGATGGTCTCGGCCTCGTCCCCACAGACTGGATGGCCCAGTTTGCTGCTCTGACCCCAGCCTGGTACCTCCTGGCACGTGGTGGGCACTGGGTGCCTGTGGACTCCAGGGGGTGGAAGGCGGTCTCGTTCACAGCCCTTTTCACCCACTGTCGCTGTGTTTTCTCCCCTCACCGTCCCAGGAGGCTGTGAGCTCGACCTGGCCTGCTTTTTCCGGCTGATTAACGAGATGGGCGGCATGCAGCAGGTGACGGACCTCAAAAAGTGGAACAAACTCGCAGACATGCTGCGCATCCCCAGGACCGCCCAGGACCGGCTGGCCAAGCTCCAGGAGGCCTACTGCCAGTACCTGCTCTCCTATGACTCCCTGTCCCCCGAGGAACACCGGCGGCTGGAGAAGGAGGTGCTGATGGAGAAGGAGAGCCTGGAGCGGCGCAAGGGGCCCCTGGAGGGCCACACGGAGCAGGACTACCACCGCTTCCACCCGCTGCCCCGCTTCGAGCCCAAGAACGGGCTCATCAACGGCGTGGCCCACAGAAACGGCTTCCGCAGCAAGCTGAAGGAGGTGGGCCCCGCGCAGCTCAAGACGGGCCGGCGGCGACTCTTTGCTCAGGAAAAGGAGGTGGTGAAGGAGGAGGAGGAGGAGAAGGGCATCCTCAGCGACTTCCACAAGTGTATATACAAGGTAGGGCCTGCCGTGCGGCCTCGTGTGCACGCTGTGGGCTGTGGGACCCCCGAGATCCCTGACAGCCAGCCTTGGTCAAGTGCCCTGGAGAGAGTCATCTGTAGTCTGGGGCGGAATAAGCGTCTGGACCAGGCCCCTGGGCACCTAGCTCTGGCCTTGGCGTGGTGCTAAGTTGCTTCAGTCCTGCCTGACTTCGTGCAGCCCCATGGGTGGTAGCCCGCCAGGCTCCTCTGTCCTTGGGATTCTCCAGGCAGGAATATTGGAGTGGGTTGCCTTTCTCTCCTCCAGGGGATCTTCTGACCCAGGGACCAAACCTGGGTCTCTTACATCTCTTGCATTGATAGGCGGCTTCTTTACCACTGTGCCACCTGGGAATCAGGGTTCATTAACTGTGTGTTTTTGTACACATGTGCCCGCATGCCAGGGACGCAGCCGGGAGGCACAACTCCTCTTTCCAGAGGCTGGGGCTGGGGCTTTTCACCCAGAGGGACCATGCCCTCTGCCACTCCCAATCATACCCCACGCCACTCCACATGGCTCTGCTGCTGCCTGTCTGTCATCACTGGTCTCCTGGGGAGAGGGCAGGGGTGGGCCCCTGCTTCTGTCCACACCGTGTACCCAGCCAGCCATTGCAAGACTCCTTCCTCCAGGGAGCGAGGTGGCATCTCATTGTCTCCCTTCTTGGCAGACTGGCTCTGCCCACAGAGGCTGGGCTCCCCCTCCCTGGCTCTCCAGGGTGATTGGGCCCCAGGCCGGGAGGGGGCACAGGATCCCCAACCTTGATCGGTTCCGCAGGTTTCAGGAGGGCAGGGCCCCTGTGGAGGTCTTGGTGGCCGTGCCCACCCACGTGTGCCTGGCCGCGGTGCAGAAACGCAGTGGGTGCCTGCGCTTCTGCCCTGAGCTGGGCCTCTTCCCTCTGAGTCTGCGCTCGGAGGTCCCTCCCTGACCTCCCTCTGCCTCTCCGTCCTTGACTTGGTTGGAGTCCCACCTCCTTTCTGGGGAGAGATGCCTGCTTGCCTGGAGCTTTCCCTGTGACTGGACCCGGGGAAGGTTGGGTCTGCGTAGATGTGGGCGCAGGTGGTGGCCGTGGCAGCTGTGTGCACCGAGGGCTGGCCAGGCGCTCACGGCTCCGGGTTCTGAGCCCACACAGCATCTGGAGGTTGACTGTTGGGTGCTGGGTGTCGTCATGTTGGATTACAGTTACCCCGCTTTAGCTGATACAAAATCAGGCTCTTCCTAGTGGTTCTGATTTTATCATGTGAGGAATGGCAGGCAGGTCAGGAGAAATTTGGATTGTGTGGTGACTTCTCTGTTGGTTAGGAGCCTTAGTTACAGAGCTGACGATGAGATGAGCAGGGTCTGCAAGCTGACTGTGCCCACTGTCCCTCCAGAGGCAGCTCGCCTCGTTAGGGGCCATGCCGCCTCTGGCTTGTCATACTGGGTGCCACGTTCCGGCTCCATTTGTGCGAGGCCACATCCCCCGGGCAGCCTGAAAGCACCTGAGGGCAGAGACGCTGTGTGTGTGAGCACTGCTCCATCTACAGCCCCTTGAGCTAGGCCTGGCACACAGTAGGTGCTCAATAAGTACTCTGCGGTCAAGGGGTGAGCATGCCTGGTCAGGGAGGAGTGGAGGGCTTGCCTGTAGGACGTGCCACCATTCATCCCAGCGAGCGCGTCGTCAGGAACGTGCCAGGGGGAGGGTGGCAGAGGTAGGCGGGTTAGGCAATCTGAAGACCCTGCGGGCCCCCCCAGGGGGGCAGGGGGCTCCCCTGACAGGAGGAAGACTGGATCTCTCTGGCCCTACAGGTCCCCGAGGCCCGGCTCTCAAGGGAGGAGCCTCAGGGTGGGTGTCAGAGTTGCCCCAGGTTTCTCTGCCAGGGTCTGCGGTCCCGAGTTCCAGCCAGGGTCTGTCTTGATGTTGTTGGCTTGGCCCCTGACCAGAGCCTTTCTCCTCCCGTCTCCGCACTGTCCCCGCTGCTCCAGAGAAGGGGCTCTTCACTGGGGCGCCTGGGCAGCGTGTCCTGCTGGATTGCGGTGGGTCTGGCCAGGGCTGCGGTGGGCAGGGGTGCGCCGCCGCCTCTGTCCACACAGAGGGTCCTTCTCAGGGAATGTGGTCCCAGCGTCTCTGTTCTTGGCAGCTAGGGCCATGGCCTGGCCCCTGGTCACAGGGACATGCCTCTCAGGGCTCCTGACGGGGCGACCCTGCTTCGGGGTCCTGGTACCGCTTTGTTTCTCCAGCTTGATTGACTCTTGCTTTTGTTTTCTTTCCAGGGAAGGTCTGTTTCTTTAACAACTTTTTACCGAACAGCAAGAAATATCATGAACATGTGCTTCAGCAAGGAGCCCGCACCAGCTGAAATCGAGGTGTGTGAGCTGGGCGGTCCTCTCTCTGCCCGGAGCTGGGGTGGAGCCCCAGGCCTCGGCCTCCTGGAGGCGGGCAGAGGGTCCCAAGTCCATCCTTTGGGTCCCATTTGCGGCCAGAAGTTTCAACTCAGGTTGACCTAAACTTGTTCCGGGTCAGAAGGGATGCAGTGGAGCGAGCGTGTCTCCCAGGTCCCCCCGACTGCCCTGGAGCCACGCCTGCAGCCGGGGATGTGCCCCAGGCAGGCCCCCGCCCAGCATCCGCCTCTCAACCCTTCTCACCCCCGTCCTCCGGGTGCCTGTTATGCAAGAGAATGTTTGGAATCCCTTGAAACCACAGTTGTGCTTTTTCCTCTCTCCTATTTTTCATTTAATGGGATTGGCAGGCTGCCATTTTTGTGCTTCTGCCAACTCTGTGCTGAGGTGTGAGAGGCTGGGCAGGCAGGCGGGGCTGCCCCCTGGCCAGTCGGCGGCAGGGGCCCCGGGGAGGAGGCGGCTCCAGGTGCTGACGCAGGTGGGCCTGTCCAGGGGTGAGCCCCAGCTCCTCACCGGGTTCAGGGCGTGCTGGATGAGCAGGCAGTGGCGTGGGCCACAGCCTTGGCTTTTGGCTGACAGCGGGTTTCAGACCGCTTCTTTTCCTTCATGGTCATAGGCTGCCTCTTCTCGGCATAACCATGCTGACGGCAGTGGGCCCTGGCCCTGATGTGACCAGGTGTCCTGGGAGTGGAACTCTAGGACAGTCTGTCCATGCCGCGTGCTGCACAGCCTCTGGTGGTGGCCGTTGGAAGTCCATGAGGCCCCGGCCTGGTGTTTGGGCCTGGGTTCAGTATTTGATGAATTCAGTACCTGATTTTGGCATCGTTGTCATTCTGTCTAGGTCCCAGTTTCGTACACTGGGCTGTATCTGTGAAGAACACACAGTGGCCTGACACTCGGCCCCTACCTTTGGCCCCACCAGAGCCATGTTTCATCACCACAGTGCCAGGGTCCTGACTCTGCAACACATGTGGCCGTCAAGTGGCTTCTGGAGGGCTCGTGCTAGTTTTAGGAGAAGCATCAGAAGGAAAGGAGAACATGACTCCTGGGGGTGGACATCTGAGCTAGAGAAAGAGGCCTTTGCTTTATAACATAGGTCCTTCTTGGAGTCCCAGAACGTGGAAGGTTATTACTGTCCGTCATCTCCTGCTGGGAAGTTAATTCTGAGGATCCTGGGTTTTTTTGTGTTTAATTGAAGGATACTTGCCTTACAATGTTGTTGTTTTCTGCCGTACATCAACGTGAATCACCATAGGTACACGGATGTCCCCTCGCTCTTGGACCTCCCTCCCTGAGAGTCTTGGTTTTGCTTTAATATTAATAGTCGTATAATATTTAAGCACAAAAGGAAGATTTGCTAAAATTTGAACTTCTTGTATGGCTAACTTCTGGATCCTACGAAGGGGGCTGACGCCTTCTGCTTGGCCGGTGGTCACCAGCGGAAGGGGCCCCCACATAGTGCACGTCCCCTTCCTCCCCCGCTGTCTTTTTCACTCTGCGCAAGTCGCTGTGAATCCCGGCAGATGGCTGACCTGACTGGCCTGGACCCGTCTCTGGCCCTTGGGGATCCTGAGCATTTAATGCTGTCCAGTTTCTTCTTGAGCTGGGCCTCCGGCTGCCCCCAGGCTAGCCCCTCGCTGTGGCAGCCGCACAGGCAGCGGGGTGGGGGCTGACCCCGGATGCTCCCTGGAGGGGCTCCAGGAAGCGGGGTTGGCCGAGGCGGGGGAGGGCGTGCTGAGCTTCTGTACTGATGACTGAGGACGGAACCCTCTCAGCTGTTGGCAAAGCCTGTCCTGACCCGCGTGCGCCCTGCAGTTGTTCAGGTCGTGCCCGCCCTTCCCCGTCCGTTTCAGTGGCTGGGGTCACCACCTGGGGGGCAGGGTGGTCACTTCCCTTGTTCGGGGGCGAGTGGCATGTCTGCCCAGACCCCCGTCTGGGGCACTGTGAGCGCACCTGCAGTAAATTGGGGGCGTCTTCACTTCCTTCCTGGGTCGCTTTCTCCCTCCCTTTCACAAAAGTGATCCTTCATTGTGGTGACGTCTGTGTGACATTTGCCACTTGAGCCATTTTCAGGTGCATTTCAGTGGCACCAGAGTCCTTTGCACGTCATTGTGTGGCCGACCCCACCACCCATTTGCAGAACTTGTCTGTCCTCCCAGACTGGAAGTCGGCTCCTGTGAATCAGTGAGCCCCCGCAGCCCCTCCGTTCTCTTTTTCTGTCTGACTTTGTTCCGAGTGCTTCCATGGGAATGGAATCAGTACTTGTCCTTCTGAGACTGGCTTCTCCACTTAGCGTCATGTCCTTAGGATTCGTGTGTTGTAGCATACAGAATTTCCCTGTCTGAGGCAGAGTCATAGTCGGCAGACACTGTACCTTGTGTTTGTCCGGCTCTGTCGGTCGTGGACCTGGCCCCGTGACCCTGGCGTGTGGTTACTGCCTGCAGCCCTGGGCAGCGCGGTGCTGACGGCCCCCTCTCCCCGCAGCAAGAGTACTGGAGGCTCGTGGAGGAGAAGGACTGCCACGTGGCCGTGCACTGCGGCAAGGTGGACACCAACACCCACGGCAGCGGCTTCCCGGTGGGAAAGTCGGAACCGTTTTCAAGGTAACGTCGAACGCTCCCGCCCAGGTCCTGTGGGCCGGACGGCGTCTGTCCGCGCCCATCCGTGACGGCCCTGTGCTTCCCCCGCAGACACGGATGGAACCTCACCGTCCTCCCCAATAACACAGGCTCCATCCTGCGTCACCTCGGTGCTGTGCCTGGTAAGCCCGCCGTGGGTTGGAGGGCCGGGGACCGTGGTGCACGGGGCGTGTAGAGAACACGGGGATTATTTGAGAAGGGAGAGGAGTAAACCAGATCACAGGTCTGGAGGCTGGGGAGACACTCCGTGTGGTCCACTTTCCACCTGGGAAGTTTCAGAGCTGACCTGACTCCCTGGGCTCCTGCCTCACACGGTAGGAGGGAAACCAGGCGTCCTGGGTGCTGGCGCGCTGAGGGCCGGGCCCCGCTCCCTGTGTCCCGACAGCAGGTGTCCGGGCGGCACCTGTGTCCTCCGCCTGAAGGCCCCACCGGCCACTGTCGTGGGCGTGTTCCTTCCTGCCTTCAGTCACTAGTTACGGTGTTTTGTCACTGTTTGTAACCCTGTCTGTGATCTTGGTTCCTATGTAAGAAGCAGAAAAGAGCGAGTACCTTCTCGTTGAGTTTTGTCTGGTCTTGAATCCCATTTCTTCTTCTTGTTGGGGAGAACGATGTGATGTCTGTTGCTGTCGCCCTGACACATGGCTCCCTAACGCCTTTGTTCCAGGAGTGACAATTCCCTGGCTGAATATCGGCATGGTCTTTTCTACCTCATGCTGGTCTCGAGACCAAAACCACCTCCCTTACATTGACTACTTACACACGGGTGCTGACTGCATTTGGTGAGTATGCCGGCCCTGCGCCGCCGCCTTGCACTCACTGATGGCAGATGGACTTGTGCGAGTTTGTCCCGTGTTCCCTGTCAGAGTCAGGAGTGCAATTGGGAGTCAAGCTGGTGGAGAATGTTTTAATTTGCTCCAGTGATAAGCAAAGTCAAGCATCTATTCCTGGCCGTTGTCCTTTCCAGTTGCCTGCTAACACGGGGCTTTTCCTCTTGACGTTTTCCCCTTGGGGTTGTTAACGGCCATACTAGCATCAGAAACAAGGAACAGTAGAGCAGGAAGCTGATCAGGAGTGGTGGCCATATCATCAGCCACCTCCTCAGCCTTGTGTGAATCATGCTCTGCATGGCCTCACATGAGTGGGCGTTTTCAGCGTCTCCCAGCCCACCCTCTGCACGGAGAGTGGTCTCCCAGAGGTGGCGTTCTGCCGTTGGGGATGTAGGAGTTGGCCTGGTTCCCAAGCGTGATCCTTCACTGTCAGGCTCCCCAGTCCCTCTCCGAGCTGGCCTTTCAGCTCCTTTGTTGATGGTAGCAGATGGGAAATTACTGCAAATGATCAGATGTCTTGTCGTCTGACGGGCTACCGGCATCGCATCCATCCCACACTTACTCTATTGACTTAATGGGGTGATTAGCTCCTTTATTAAAATAAAGTCCTGGAGCCAACTTTCTCCAAGGAGCCGGTGTCGGTCCCAGTCCCATCACGGTTCCGCCTGCCTTGGCGCTGCCTTGGGGCAACGGGCCATCGGTGTCGGAGCAGGTAGGCCCTCTGCTTGGTCTCCCATGGTGGGGCCAGGGTCTCAGGCAGCGCGGAGGGCCAGGAGCCGGCCACATGGACTCGGGGGGTGTGCGGTCCCCTGCTGAGCCCACCGCCACGTTCCCCATGGAGAACCAGACCCTGGCCCCTCATTGGAAAGTGGAGCCACGTGGCCTTGGCCCCGCAGGGTGATGGGGTAAGAGACTGCTGAGTGAGAGGCATGGGAATGCAAGGGTCTGGGCTGCTGGGAGACTGGACCCTGGAACCTCTCTGCTGCAGGGAGAGGTTGCCAGAAAGAATCAGAGGACTTCACGGTGTGGTTTTTCTTAAAACGTGTGAGTGAGGTTAGAAACTCTGGACTTAAATCACAAATCAGCAATAGACTGTGTTGTCACATGAGACGACAACCCTCTCAAAGAACCTTGACTAGGTTCTCAGCAGCTGTCCTGATCTCTCAACAGCTAGTAGTCAGGACCCCCGCCCCGTGGACTGCTCATCATGGGTGTTCTCCCCGCCTGGCCTGGGGGAGGTGGGGACGGGTCAGCCTGAAGCCCCCCACGTAGCTGCAGGGAGGGTAGGGGGTGGTCAGGTGTCCACTCTAGCCCATGGAGTCCCAGAGCGGGGGGTCAGGAGGAGCCTGCCTGTGTGCTGAGCGCTGCCACCAGCGTCCCGAGAGCGTAGGCGATGGGTGTGTCCCGGCGGGTCCTCCTGGGACCCGCGTGGTCATGCCCTGCGCCCGCCCCTGGCTCGCACTGAGGGTCCTGGCTCTTTGGGTGAGTTCAGGCCGCGTCTCCTCCCACCGCCTCCCCTGGGCTCCTTGGCCCCAGTCAGCGGAGCTGTGCCATCCAAGGCCCACCTGTGTGGCTGCTCCCTTCACCCGACACAGACACTTGCGGTGGGGATTCCAGGCTGAGCCCTAGTCCCGCCCCGTTCTCTGTCTGCTGGAGAGACCTGTCAGGTGTCAGCCTAGCAGTAAGTCTCTGCTTGGGAGGCTCACGAGTGGCTGTTGAGTCTGTGGACATGTCTGGATCTGATTTATAAGGGCTTTTAAACGTCTGATTTTGGTCTGAAGGCTGCTTGGCTCGGGCGTAGGTCGGATCCACATACAGGTGGGCATGCTCATCGCCTGCAGCAGCTGCAGCTTGGCCGCGGGGCACAAGTGGCAGAGCTGCCCAGAGAGACCCGGGGCCACTGGGCGCGTGCCCACCTCCCCTCCTGCAACCGAGGCCAGTTTCCAGGCTGCTGTGGGCCCCTTTCTCTGGGGGAGGATGGGCTCCCTGGGGAGGGACCTCGTCACAGCCTCTGCTTGGCTCCAAACCACCAGGTATTGCATTCCTGCTGAGGAGGAGCACAAGCTGGAGGACGTGGTGCACACCCTGCTGCAAGCCAACGGCACCCCCGGCCTGCAGATGCTCGAGAGCAACGTCATGGTAGGGGCCCCCCGCGGCGGCTTTATCTCCTCACCCCCTGGGCTGGCCTGCCCCGCAGAGCCAGAGGACCGTGAGCAACACATCCAGGGGGCCGTCATAAACAAAGCATCCTCTCCTATGGAAACCCAGCTCCTCTCATTGCCCAGGACGTGGGGCCGCTGCGCGTGGGGCCCTTTGAGTCTCTTTCGGAGCCTGGTGGTTTTCTGAATGGCGACTGGGGCCGGGCCGGGCGCCCGGACAGCTAAGCGCAGAGGCGGCTGGCCCAGTTCTCAGAGCCTCTTGAGTCCTGGGGGATCTCTCAGAGTTGCGTTGACAGCCTGATCTCAGGTCTTCGCTGGCCTCTGTGGCCCCCGTCGGGGTCTCCTCTCACTCCTGAGCCCGCAGCCCCTGTGCCGGGTGCACTGATGCCTGTCCACCCTGGCCGTGCGCTGGGGACCCAGGGCTCTGCTTGCCCCGCGATCACTGCGACCGCGCCCTTATCTGAGGCGTCGCTTCTGGGTCTGTGTCAGTTTAGAACTTTCTCTTCCTCCACTTAGGAATCATGTCTCATGTTTTCTAAAAGAGAAACAGAATCTGTAATACAGGACATACTCCGTGTGGGGAGCAGGCTCAAGCCCCGATGCCTGTCCGGGGACTGGTGTGTTGGGCCGCGGCCGCAGGCGGTGCTCACGGAAAGCGGGCGGGAGGCGGGCGGGCGGGCGGCTCACCCCACGTCTCCACAGATCTCCCCGGAGGTGCTGTGCCGGGAGGGGATCAAGGTGCACAGGACGCTGCAGCAGAGCGGCCAGTTCGTCGTCTGCTTCCCGGGGTCCTTCGTGTCCAAAGTCTGCTGCGGCTACAGCGTCTCTGAGACCGTGCACTTCGCCACCACCCAGTGGACGAGCATGGGCTTCGAGACGGCCAAGGTAGGCAGGTGGCCGCTCCGCATGCGTCCTTGTGTTCCCTGGTGGGAGTCTTGTTTGTAGATACTGCTTTGATTTCAGACCCTTAAGGCGGCTGAGAAGTTTTTCTGGGGAGGCAGAGTGGTTCAAGGCCTGTTAGCCTCCTGTAAGTTGCTGAGTTCTCTGACTCAGTCCTGGGCCGTTACTGCAGAGGTGTGAAAGGTGAACCCTGCCTTTGGCCGGAGGAGTGCCTGGGTACTGCGGTCTTCCTCTGGGGAGACAAGATTATTGTGTGGTTTTTGCATTGCTTTTCATCCAAATGGAATTCAGAATTTGAAAATTCTGATAGCACCGCCTCCTAGAAATGAAAACCTGCCCTGAAGGGATGTCACTGCCTCTTTCAGGAGATGAAGCGTCGCCATATAGCTAAGCCATTCTCGATGGAGAAGTTACTCTACCAGATCGCACAAGCGGAAGCGAAAAAGGAAAACGGCCCCACGCTCAGTACGATCTCAGCCCTCCTGGACGAGCTCAGGTAACACAAGACAGCTTTGGCGGGCCCGTCAGGCTCAGCCGGGCGGGGTGGGGGTGCGGCCCGTCCCCGTGGGGATCGGTGGCCCCCCCATTCTGGGGCTTGGCCGGTGGCTCTTCTGCGCTCGTCACTGCAGGCAGAGTGCGGGCGGCCGAGAGGCCTTGGGGCAGGTCTGGCCTTTTGACTTGGGTGCCCTCCTGGGGACCCCAGCCCCTCTGGGCCCGCTGACCCCGGGTGTCCTGGTAGGGATACAGAGCTGCGGCAGCGGCGGCAGCTGTTCGAGGCCGGCCTCCACTCGTCCGCCCGCTACGGCAGCCACGACGGCAGCAGCACTGCGCCCGACGGCAAGAAGAAGCCCCGGAAGTGGCTGCAGCTGGAGACCTCGGAGCGGAGGTGCCAGGTGTGCCAGCACCTGTGCTACCTGTCCATGGTGAGCCCTGCCCCGCCCCGCCCCTGCCCAGCCTCCCTCTGGGGCTGACTCGGAGACGGCGGGTCCCCCAGACTCTTTCCTGGTCTGTTGAACCTGCTGTTCAGCCCCGTGATTGCTCTGATCGCCCCAAGGACTGTGAAGTCTGTTTGGTTAAAGCAGCACTTCCCCTTCCCAGCTTTTAGTCTCTGGTCGCGGTTGGAAGCCAGCGCAGTCCAGCGTCTGCCTTCTCTCTCGGCTGCTCTGCAGCTTCCATGAGGGGCTTGTCCAGCCCAGCCTGGGGCTGAGGTGCACGCTCCAGGCTCCTACACCCAGCCCGGCCCAGCCGGACAGCGCAGCCACACCTCCCGCCTCCCTCAGGCAGCGGCCGCCCGACACAGGTCTGTAGCTGGAATTAGCTAGGGCTGCCGAATCGGCACCGCTGCCTGCTTTCTCATGGCTGTGGAGGCTGGGAGTGCTGGGTCAAGGTGTCCCCGAGGTTGCTTCTCCCCGAGGTGTCTCCTTGGCATGTAGACATCCACTTCCCCATGGTCCTCACAGGGCCTTTCCTGTGCGTGCTTCTGTCTTAATCTCTTCTTGTCTTTGAAAGGATGTAAGTCATATGGGACCAGAACCCGTTATCTTTCTGACGCTCCTGCTCCAAATGGGAGGGGATAATAATTCAGTCCGTGACAACCACGTGTCCCATTTTATGTATATCTTCTAATAGCTTTGTTTTCCCGGAGGCTTTTTAAAAAATATAATTAACAACCATGCTGTCTTTAAAACAAGTCATAAGAATTTCCCCAGATCTTAAAAATGTTTTGTGAACATCGCTCACGAGAGCTGCATAGTTCTGGGTTTGTTCATCTTGCGTTGGAATGGGGTTATGCTCATGGGAAACCATCATTGTAGGTTTCCCATGAGCCTGGGTGACTTCTGTGACCCTGTGTGGCCCTTGTCCCTTCCCGTGGGTTCTGAGGTTGGCATTGTCCCTCAGAAAGCTGATCTCCAGAGTGGTCACCAGGATTTCTTAGCCTGTTATTTAAAAAGCACATATCCTGAATTCACGGGTAAACATCGGTTTTATTTATACACGTCTCTCATCACTTGGGTCACTTACTAAGGGGTTGTGCGTGTCTGTGTGCTTCCATCCGCAGCTTTGAGTGCTGCTTCTGCCAGTAAGCGTCATTTCCATATACCTGCAGCTTGGTTTCTTATCTTTGCTTAGAAACATCAAAGACAGGAAACTTAGGCCCTGTGATGCTCTTGCCTCTGGCGTGTTAAGGCAGCGTCTCCCCGTTGTTCACACAGGGGGAGACCGGGCCAGGTCGGTGGGGGCGCGGATCCCGCGCACACAGCCCTGGACTTCGGCGCGTCCTTGGGGCAGCTCAGGCCAGATGCAGCTGGGTCTCTGGCATCTGGAGCCGTGCCTGCTGGAGTGTGGACAAAGGCCGGCTCCCCGGGAGGCGCAACCAGGTGGGCCAGAGCAGGAGACACTGTCATGAATGTGCAGGGTGTAACCATCCTGGCATCTTTTATCCCACGGGAGGTTTTGAACCAACAGTCTCAGGAGACCTCAGACCCCGCAGCCCCAGCCACCACGCTCCGACTCAGGCAGGAAAGTGTGGAGAAGCCAGGGGGCCCCGAGGCTGCCGGGGCGCAGCTCCTGCTCGGTGATGCCGTGACGTTCACTTGCTTTCGCATCAGTGTCCTGTGTTTCTGGGCCACAGATGCCTCTGGCCCGGGTGCTGGGCTACCCTGCTCTGCTCCTGAGAGCCCGCCGCCCTCCTTGGGTGCCCCCACCTCCGCCGCACGCCTCAGCTGCGCTGCCTCTTGTCCCTCAGGTCGTGCAGGAGAACGAGAACGTGGTCTTCTGCCTCGAGTGTGCCCTGCGCCACGTGGAAAAGCAGAAGTCCTGCCGCGGCCTGAAGCTCATGTACCGCTACGACGAGGTCAGTGTGCCCGTGGGGTGAGCGCCTGCCCGCGAGGCCCCACACCCAGCCTGCTTCCGGGCACCTCTGGCCTGATAGCCGAGACGGGGCGACCAGGGTCAGCCAGGGCTCCGCCGGCTGAGGCTGGGGGACTGGCGTCCTCGTCCACGCCCCTCACATCCCGGCGCACCCACCCGCAGGGCCCCCAGCCCACGGCCGCTCACTGAGCTGCAGGCAAAGCCCGAGGGGGTGGTCCTGGAGCACCCGGGACCTTGTCTTCACCTGGGGGCCTTGGCAGAGCTGGAGTCTTTCTCTTTCTGCTCCTAAAGCTTTCACCTTCTGAGTAAGTCCCAGTTGCACCCTTTCTAAAAACCCTAGTCGTCCCCAGAGGCAGGTGCAAAGTGCCGTCCGTGTGGCTGGTCTCTACCCTCCAGTGGGTAAGGGCCAGGTGCTGCCTTCAGCCGCAGGAGAGCACCTGGAGCTCTGCCCCCAGGGCAGCTGGCACGTAGCCCTGTCGGCTCACGTGTTCCACGTACTTCCAGGCGGCCCTGCGATCCTCCTTGCAGATACTGTACAAGTGTGTAGCTCCAGGGACACACAGCCCTGTAGCATTTACTGTGCCCTGACCCGGAGCCCTTCTTGGGGGTCACCTTGGAAGACTGCTGCCAGGACCCCCATTGCCCCTGATGGCCCACCCTCCTGTCCAGCTGTGAGCCCCGCCTTGAGGGCAGAACCTGCTAGCTGTCCCCGCCCCGGGGAGGCACGTCCCATAGAAGGTGGCCTTGTCCTGCCATCACACATCAGAGCCCCAGGCTGATCTAGGCCGGGTGCCCAGGCCTGATTCAGGAGGCTCTGGGGGCACCCTCGGGGGCTCAGGCTGGGGTCATAGAAGCCTTTGGCTAAATTACAAGATTGGAAAGCTGGAAATAGATCTCTCTGCATCTTCTTTGTCTTTAAAGAGCATGTTCAGTGAAGGCAGTAACCACTTTGCCCTCCCTGCTTCTTCACTTGAACAGCAAATGTCAGAACATGGTTAAAAATAAACCCTCATGTCTGAGTCAGAGCATCTCTGGAAGCTCACAGGGCACAGCCAGTGGCGCTGGGGCTTCTGAGATGATTCTGAAGTTCGACAAGACGTGGGTTAGTTTCCACCTCCGGCCCATTTTGGAGCTTGGTGTTTTGATGTGACCAGAATCCTGGAAAAGAATCACATGTGTAGGGTCTGTCGGTCTGAAGCTTAATCATTGGTTCTCATGAGTAGGGAAGAGAAGGGTTTTTATAAGCCTACCATTTTGCCAGCAGCCTAAATTTATTTTAGTAAATGAAAATCACAAATCAGTTCCCTATTGAGCTGAACTATATTATTATTGTTTCAACTGGGGAATTTCCAGCTCTGGGTTGGATTCCAAAACTGGCTTGTGAGACCAGAGCCCTTATTCTGAGCCCCAGCAGTCAGGTCCCCGCTGCCCAGCCTTTTGGTCAAAGGTGTGACCTCTGACCACACAGCCCTGCTGCCAAGGTGGCTGGTCTTGAAAGAAGCGCGTCTGTTCGTTCTTTATTAGAATGTATACTATAAGTGTCCATTCTTTACTAGCACGTGTATTGTAAGTGATTTAAGTGGTGTGCAGCGCCCAGCCTGGGCCAGGACTAGGCCGACCCTCAAGCTTGCGGAAGGAGTGGCCTCCTGTGCCCGTGGCTTCCTGTTCTTCCTGTTCTTCCTGTCGGTCCATCCTTGACTCCAGTGGGTGGTCTGCAGTGTCTGTCAGTACACATGCCACTTGGCTAGTCTTCCCTGTGGTTCCTTGTAACCCTGGGTGGTTGTAAGTTGAGTTGTGTCACAGTTACAGATGGGTTTTTGATGCCCAGCAGATAAGATGGTTCTCTTGTCCTGTTGTGCTCTTTCCCCTTCATTGAGGAGGGAATAACAAGCATTTATGGACAAGCGTTTATGTGCATGAGTCGGTCAAGTAGGTTTCAGTGTAGCCAGAGAAACAAACAGCCCAGACCCGCCCCCTCCCGGGTGCGCAAGCCTTTCCTCACTTCCCAGCCGACCCCCACCCCGCGTGGCCGCCAGCCCTGGAGGCCTCTGGGCCCCAGGAGGTGCACGGGGCGGCCGCCCGAAGCCCTCTGCTGTGTTCTTTAGGTGGTGAGGGCCTCGACAGGAATGCGGCCTTCAGCAGCCTGTCCCACGCTGTGTGTTGGTTATGGGGCTGCAGACATTCCACTTCACTGCCACAGGAGGGCGCTCCTGGGCTCCCGGAAGGGGGAAGGAAGGGGTGGGAGGCTGTGCGCGCCTCTCTCGATTCCACAGGAGAAAAGGCAGGTTTCCCCAGAGAAGGGAAGTTTAACTTCGGCGCCTGACTGGGGGGCTCCATCTCAGGAAGTGTGGGCCCAACCAGGCCACCCTGGCCCTCCCCAGCCCCGGGCACCGACGCTGCTGCTCTGTTTGGTGAAGGTGACAGCCTGGGGATAGCACTGTTCCGTTTGCTAATTCTCTGTCTTCCTTTTCAACCCGAAACAGGAACAGATTATCAGCCTGGTCAATCAGATCTGTGGCAAGGTATCTGGTAAAAACGGCAGCATTGAGAACTGTCTCAGTAAACCCACACCAAAAAGAGGGCCCCGCAAGAGAGCCACGGTGGACGTGCCGCCCTCGAGGCTCGCATCCTCCTGAAGACGCCAGCGCCGCGGGCGAGGATGGACGCCATTTTGTAATTACTATATTCTAGTTTGGAGTACTTGCTGTAGGATACAAGCTGTCTTTGCACTAGCTCTAAAGAAGATTTTCTTCTGGTTTTAGAGAACTAATTTTGTTTTAGCATTAAACTGTTGAACTTTTTTTTGTATTTAGAATACCTAGATACTGCAGTCAGATTTTTGAAACTGCCGTATATTCACTGTTTTAAAACCCTTGAGGGGCTGTATTAATTTGTATCGCCCCTTGTGGCTGACAAAGCCTTTTTGTTTGATTTTTTTGTTTGTGTTTTTTTTTGTTTGTTTGTTTTTTGTTTTTGTAATTGTTGGGGGAAAAAAGGCTTTTTAACCCATTTTTGAAGAGGGTGAAGTTTGGAGAACAAATTTTAAAACCATCAGTCATGTGAGCAGACTTTTTTCTAGAGAGAAAAAGGGATAGAAGACACATACACACACAAAAAAAAAACTTGAAAGAAATGGCTTTACTTGGGCCGTCTTTTCTTCTGTCATGTGCAGGATGAGTTTGTAAGTGTTAAAAACCGGAGAGTCCCCATTTTGTTTCTTTGGGCGGTTATGGCAGCTGAAGGCGGACGTTGTTTCCTAACCATAGGCAAAATGAGGAGGTCGGAGCCACTGGGTTCTCTTTACCAGCACTTCACTATGCATCTGTTTAAGGAGAAAGAGGAAGAGAAGAAAAAGACTGCCTGCCTTGGAGGGGTCACGTGAGGGAAACCTGTGCCTGATTTCATTAGGAAATCCATTCTGTTCTTTTTTGGTGCTGTTGGCTACTTTATCAAAAAACCCTTCAATAGCATCCTTAAGGAAAAAAAAAAGGAAAAAAAAGTGATTGAAGCCGGAAGTGCTTCTTTGTCATGGATGTGCAATCTTTCTAACATTCCATCTTCATCTCACCTGTTTGTTGTTTTACACCTTCACAGGTCAGCATTAATTTTTCTTTTTAAATTCATTTCGTTGGTGATCACATCTAGAGCCACTTGGAGGTCTGCGGTTCTTTTTGAATGTGAAAATGCATCTGCGCTCATCTGGTCTATTTTTTCTCTTCATGTTGTAACAAAAAGAAAGAAAAAAAAAGAAAAAAAAAACCGTCCCTTTTGTACATACGCCTGTAAATTGTTTCAAATACTTGAGCCTTTTTCTGGGTGGGGGAGGGGAGGGCGCGAGGACAGATGAAGAAAAGCCTTACACTTCCGTTTCTTCATCGGGTGGACTGGATGCTTACAGGGTTTTTCTTGTAACATTTATAAGTGCTGCTTACATCACTGAACAACAACAAAAAAAATAATAATGGAGTAGCTGTTGCCCTTCTCCGGTTGTGTGTACAGTATGTGTGGAATAAAAAAGGGAAACTGTTTTCACAAGCTGTTCTTTGTTTCATAATTGGATCCACCGATCCCGCAGCTGCCCGTCTTGCACTGAGCTGGCCGGTGGGGCTGTCAGCAGCGTCCTGTGGTACACTGTCGGTTGTCGTTGCCGAAGACTGAACTGTGTTGGCGTATTTAACAGTGACATGAGCAGAGTCGTGTTTTCCAGTGTGCTTGTCCGGTTTCTATGGCCTTGCTGTGTACTGGCCCTTTTTTGGACAGTGAACTTCTGCCTACGGCTTACGGTCTGACGTTTTAATTTATTAGCGCTGCTCTGCACCCCTCCCTTGGGAGGGAAGACTTTTCATGTTGTTTATTGCCAGTTTTTTGTTTACTTTTCAGGTTTGTACTACAAGGTTTAATAATAAAACAAAGTTTTTTGGACACCTGTTTGTCTTGTGGAAGATGAGTGAATGAAATCAGCTCTTTTCTGATCAAGGGGCTAAGGGTCCATCCCCTTGGCCAGGGAGCGGAGTGAACACCGAGTTTTAATCTCATTTTCTGACAGTGGTGAGTGGGGGGGTGGGGGGGACACATCCCTCTGGGACCAGGGCCTGGTCAGGAGTGAAGCGGCGTGTGGACTGGGCCCATGTTTTCTCTCCCTCCCTCCATGCCCAGGTGTGTGCTCTGCTATTAAATAAACTAGGGACTGTTGTTGGACTTTACCATTTTGTAACGATAAGATGAAAACCCGAACTTTTAGAGCTGAGAGGAGGCACGATTTCCTACCTGCAAGGGGCTTGGCTTGTCAGCGCCAAGCTGACACCAAGCTTGATGTGGACACCAAGCTCCCTGGCCCACCTGCAGGACGTGTGTATTTAGCACCTTTCTGTACAAACTGGCTACGTTTAAAGTTCTCAGACTTTATTGTTAGCTGTTCTTGCAGCCACTTGCCTCACACATCATTGTCAATTGTGTAAAAAACCAGGAGCCCCCCGCAGCCCACCTGCCTTCACCGCGGGCCTCGGCGCAGGGCTGCGTCGTCCTTCAGAGGTGGGCAGCACGTAGGCGCTGGGTTAGGAGTCGCTGTCGTCCGTGTGCAAGGTGGCAAGGGCGGTGTCCACCTCCACGCCCTCCTCGTCCGACTGGACCACGGGCGACTCCCCGCCTTCGCTGGAGTCCTGGGAGGCCGGGTCGGTACCAGGTGAGGCTGAGGAAGGTGGTGTGGCTGGGGGCTGGGAGGGAGTGGGCACCTGGAGAGTGGCTGCGTCCTGACTGGGGCTTGCCTCAGGCCCTGAAGGAGAGAGCAGAGGACAGCCTGTTGTGGAAGGCCTGCATCTCAGCAGTGCTGGTGACGAGCGTTTGAACTTGCAGAGAATCAAGGGGGCGTAAGTTCTCTGCCCCCTGACGTGCGGGGACCACCTGTAGAAGGTGCCGAGCTCTGTGGCCCCAGAGGCAGCCTGGGGCTCCAGCTGACCCTTCTGCCACCTGGGACAGATGCAAAGACCCCACACCCTTCCCACAGCCTCCGCTGATGCACCATGCTCAGGACCCAATGGCAAGCTCTGCAGGTGTGACTCACATTCCTCATAACCTCGACAAGCCAGGTTTACCTCTCTGTAGCTTCTGAACTAATTTCAAGGACATGGACCTTAAGGGAAAAACGCTTGTGGAGCCTCTTACAGGAACCAAAACCACGCGGATGATGGGAGTCCTTTCCTGATGCTGGGGAGGGGGAGCAGAGTGCAGGCCTTGAGGGCTCATGCATATGCCAGGAGGGGAGGAAGGAGCTGCTCTGTTGGAAACCCAGGTCAAGGGGAAGCCCCCAGGCCTGACAGGACGTGGAGCCTGTGGTGTGGGACCAGCAGGTGATAGGCTGTGACATGGGCTGGCCTTTCCATCTTTAGGAGCATCGAAGACAGACATGTTCTCCGTGATGACAGTCTCGAAGCCCACCCACTCCGGAGGAATGGTCTGAAATTTACAATGAGGCCAGGTATAGTGCCGGAGCGTCAGTAAAGATCTGCTAAATGAATGTGGGATTATGGTAAGTTATTAAATGAAGAGAATGTGCCTGCAGGATTGCCACTACTTTTTTAAATGTAAGCTGACGCTGAACACACGCCTTGGCCTTGCCCCCCAGCATCGGATACCATCCACTGAAAGGGGACGGGGGGAGCCACACAGGAGACCTCCACCTCCCCAAACTCTAGTGCTTAACTACGCAAACCCAACTCAGATTAACTTTGGAGACAGAGGAGAAGATAAAATGCAATTTTAAGAAAAACTCCCTGTTTGCTGAAGGTATTTGGGAAAAGCACTGAGAATCGTTGAGAAGTTCATGACTGTAACCGCCATGGTGTCGTTTGTCCACGCCTGTGAGGCCAGACCGTGTGCTAAGTGGTCCCACTGTTTCCCACACAGTGTCTGACCGAACCAGAGGGAAATCGTGGTGATGAGAGTGATGATGTCCATGCAGGCTTTTGAGCCCTACCTGAAACGGGGGACAGCATGGTGTGCTCCTCGCCACCAGAGTTCAGGAAGACATCCAGGGCCTCCTGGTCAGAGATGTCCATCAGGTCCATCTGCTCCAGCATGTCCACGTTCACCTCCATGGACGACATGCTGCCCATGGGCTCTGCGGGGGCCGGCACGAGAGGAGGTTAGGCTTTGCCCCGGGTGAGCATTAGGTATTAGCACCTTGTGTTTTCTGTGTGTAAAATACCTTCTACTATTTCAAAATTGATTTTGGAGTAATGTGTTATTGACATGTCCCAGTTTGGTGTTCTTTAAATCCATGCTAGCTTAAACCGTGGTTACTGTAATCTCTTAGACCTTCCACAGCAGATCCTCTTTTCATCCCCAGCCCTGTGCTTGCACGTGCTGAAGGCAACCCTTTCTGCATTAAACACTTGTGACTGAGAGAGCTTGACATTCCTGCCAGACACCTCTGACGGTGGTCGCCTCTTAACTATTTCAATTCCACTTGGCATCTTCCCTGCCCTTGTGACATTTCTCAGGTCTTCCATCTTAGCAACAGATCAAGGTTGGGTCTGCTGCAAGCTGGCAAGTTGGAACTTAAAGAGCTCCCTGCAGTGAAAGCACAGACCAGGAGAAGCAGCCTACCAGCATAAAGAGCTACAGGACGAGCAGTCTGAGCCTGGGGAGGGGTGTGCCCAAGGTCTGGAGTTCTGCGATCCAGAAAACTACAAGCCAGGTAGCTTAAACAGATGGTGCCTGTCACAAGTAGATACAAATTTCTGGATGTGGACACAACTTTAACCTAGGTCTCAACAGGAATATAAACTCAACACAAAATCCAGTTCAGTCTAGAACTTAGAACACACACATGCCTGAGTGAGGGTCAGCAGAAACAAAGATTATTAGCATCTTTCCCCAAGAATTTAAACTGCTTTAAATATCTTAAAGATTAGAATCAGATAAGCAACACAGGGTCAGAAATAATGACAGGCATTTGAAAAGAGCCAGATAACATCCAAATAGGAAAAGTCACAGAAATTTAAAACTATGGCACAAGGTTGGTGAGTGCCAAATAGAAAAAACTAGTAAACCAGAAGGCTGAATAAGTTCTCTACCACATAGCAAAGAAACAAGTAGAAGTATGAAAAAGAGAAAGTACAGCAGTTTCACAGTTCAAAATGTGAGTGGACACTGGGGATGAGCAGTATTCAGAGAGGCTGATTATCTTCCAGACTTACTGCACGATCTGACATCCCAGACTTAAGAACAAAATACATTCCAAGCAAGGCAGATAAAAGAAACCCTCACCTGAACTGCAGGTTCAGAAAGAAAAGGCAGGTTAGGAAAGATGAGGAAATGCAAGTCATGGCTACTTCACAGGCACACCAAGGCAGTGTCACCCTGCCAGCACAGGTCAAGCCCGCTCCCCTTGGGGCTGCCTTCCTGGAGCCGGGCGGGGGTACTGCTGGGAGGGGAAGGGGCATACGGGGCTCCTCTGGGGCTGGGGAGGCCTTCGTGACTTCGGGCTTTTATTGTTCAGCTTTGAAAGCAGTCCCCCGTTTTCCTCTCTCTGGCCATCCTCTCACAAAGGGGAGGGGGAAAAAATGAACTGAACTGAAAAGCAGAGGAAACATTTTCAGGAAAGTAGAAAGCACCAAATAAGGTAGTGATGAAGCCAATTTTATAATCTGTTTGTTGCCTTTTAACATTTAACATTTGCTGTGATCACTGCCTGCCTGGTTTTATTACCATCTCATTTGATGCTTTCCGTTTTCCTGAAAATGGAAAGTTTCTTATTAGTGATAAAGGTCTAGTTACATTATGTTTATAGGAGACATTCCTAAAACATTAAAACAGAAACACTTAAAATGTAAGGAAAAATAGGAAGTCGGCAAGCAAATAATTAAAGAAGAAAGCTGATATGGCTGTATTTTGTACTATCAAAATAGATTTGAAGGGGAAAGGAAAGCATTATTAGAGTAAAGCATAGCATTTAATACTTTATTTAAATTCAGTTCACCAGGAAGGTAATTCAAAATTTCTGTGTGACTATATATTTTGTGGTTATAATTTTAAAGTATGGAAGCATGACAAGGAAAATGTAAGGAGTCCATAATTGAGGGAGAAAGGAAGGTTTAATGTACCTTTGATAATTAAGCAATCCAAAATGGATATTAATACAAAACATCTGAACAGGCCAATTTACAAGTCCTCTGAAACGTACAACTTACAGATCCTAATGCCTGTCATCTAGAATTTTGTTCTTAACTACACACAAAACATGTAGGAAAATTCTCTAAAAGGCCATAGTGTCAGTCTTGAATCAAAGAAGAAACCCCATTTTCCAGCCAGAAAAAAATTTTAAAAACCCAGGAACTATTACTTACCAAAACTTAGAGAATATCCTGTGTAAGGTTTACCAAGAAGATTAAAGGCACAAGTTAACAACCTGAGGGATGCAAAAAACAAACCTGACCCCCAAGGACTGCAAAGACTGAAAGGTATGTGGACAATCGTATGCGAGTGGATCTGAAGATGAGAAAGAATCTAAACAAATCCATTGGAAACTCGCAAAAGGAAAGGAAACCTCTAGAACCATAAGAAAAATAGTTGAGCTCTTCCCCCAGGAAAGCATGGGTCCCTGACAGTGCCAGAAGTAAGTTACACCCAACACAGGCCAGACAGGTGGAGGAATGGAACAGAAAGGAGACTCAGAAACGCTGAGAACGGCGCCGAGAGACAGTGACTGCTGTGAAGACCTGCACTTGGGTCCTTTCTTCCCGACAGACACAAACCAACTGGTGGTGGCTTTAGGTACCAGATATAAAATGGAAAATGGTAAAACTTTTTGAACAAAACAGGATAATGTTCTTATAACATGGAGGGAAGGACTTCCTAAATAAAAGTGGACTCAGCTGGTCACATTAAGAAGAAACGCATTTTTGCAAAGGCCACACTAGGATGGCCACAAATTGAGTGTCTTCCCAGGACATGATCGGACAAGTCTGGTAATAAAGGGAGACAACCAGAAAGGCGGACAGTAAAAAAAAATGCAAATAAAAAACCAAAATAAAGTATTTCATATATATAGACTGGCGAAAGTTGAAGTATCTGACACAACTAAGTGTTGACAGAGCTGTGGAGCAGGCGGGCACGCGCACTGGGAGAGCAGACACTGACGTGGGTATTCGGGCAAGCACTGTGACAGCGTCCACTACGGTTAGATGTATGCTCGCCGTATGTCTTGGTAATCACTTTCCTAGTGACATATCCTCAAACAGGTTTCAGATGCGGACCCGAGCTCCTAACGGGCCCCTTTTGCGTTCTCTCTGCCTCTGCTGCAGGTGCCCTGAAAGTGCTGAACTCAGCGAGGCAGAGTCGCTCCCTGTCTCACAGCTGTAGTGTTTGTCCCTTATGGCCTGGATGTGTGCCCTCCCTCCCAGATTCTCATGTTGAACCCCTAACTCCCAATGTGATAGTTTTTGGAGATAGATCCTTGGGAGGTAGCTCAGCTGGTAAAGAATCCTCCCGCAATGCAGGAGACCTGGGTTCAATCCCGGGGTTGGGAAGATCCCCTGGAGAAAGGAACGGCTACCAACTCCAGTACTCTGGCCTGGAGAATTCCATGGACAGAGGAGCCTGGTGGGCTAAAGTCCATGGGGGTCACAAAGATTCAGACAACTGAGTGACTTCCGCACACACACCTTGCGAGGAGGTGATTATTTGAGGTGAAGTCCTGAGGGTCGGGCCCTCGGATGGGATCACTGCCCTCCTGAGAAGAGACCCCAGAGCTGAAAGCTCTCCCCGCAAGTAAGGACAAGCCCCAGAGTAAAGTCCAGGCCTGTGCGAGAGAAACAGTTGTGCATAAGGTACCAGTCTGAGGTGGCGTCACAGCAGCCCAAGCAGACCAGGGTGGCGCCCCTAGCCCATGCCCGACCCTGAGGACACTCCACAGGGAACAGAGGAAGGCGACGGTGGGACACAGCCGCGGACAGTGGAGATGAAGAGGTCACACTTCATCTGTATTGTTGGGACTTCCCTGGTGATCTAGTGGCTTAAGACCACGTTCCCAATGCAGGGGGCCTGGGTTTGATCCCTGGTCAAGGAACTAGATCCCACATGCTGCAACTAAGAAAGACCTGGCACAGCTAAAATTAACCCCTCAACACTCAAACTGTACTGTTCACCTCAATTTAACAAGTGCTGTGTACACACCACCTCCTTCAGGACATTCTGATACAGCCATACCTGAGTGTTTTCTCTACATTCTTTTCCTTCCTCATTCTTTGATTCCCTCAACCTCTCCTGCAGGGGCACAGAGAGTTGAATGACAAGGAGTGAGAGTAACAGGTAGATTGGGGGGGTTCTGTGAGGGGGCAGGGTATGAGAACAGGGCCAGGCCAGAAGAGGAAGGCTGAGCGCAGAGGGATCTGGGAGGGGGCAGGGCTTTCTAAGGGGCTCCCCCGGTGGCGCCAGGGGCAAAGAATTGCCTGTCAGCGCAGGAGACATGGGTGTGATGCCTGGATTGGGAAGATCGCCTGGAGAGTTCATGGACCCAGAGGAGCCTGGTGGGCTACAGTCCACAGGGTCGCAAAGAGTGGACACAACTGAAGGAGTTTGGCACACACGCATGTACAGGGGTTGCCAAGGGGGCTGGAGGGCCAGGAAGCCCAGGATACCATCCACACTGCCCGCTGCTCCGGAGCCGGCTCCCACAGACACGAGCATTTGCACATCTAGATGTACAGCACAGCACCATTTTTTTTTTTTTAAAGCCGATCCCTTCTCCAGGGGATCTTTCCAACCCAGGGACCGAACCCCGGTCTCCTGCATTGCAGGTGGATTCGTTACCAGCTGAGCCAGCAGGGAAGCCCAAGAATACTGGAGTGGGCAGCCTGTCCCTTCTCCAGCGGATCTTCCCGACCCAGGAATCGAACCAGGGTCTCCTGCATGGCCCTTACAGAGGCCAAGGATCTTAAATGTCCAATTAGGAAACTGTTAGGCTACATCCTGACCATGGAGATGCCACTTTTAAAACAAACTCTTGCAAAGGATTTTTGATAATGTTGGGGAAGGATCTCCACACAGCATGAAGGAAGATTAGATGTGAAGCCAGATATATGTACAGTCCATAAATAGACACACATGAAAACATCACCCTCAAATGGTAATAGGGATTAGTCTGTGCTACAGATTTATGGCTACTGTTTGTCTTTTTTTGCTTTTAAAAAAAAATGTATTCCAAGTTTTATCTTCAATGAAAGCCTAGAAATATCTGGAGAGGCAAAAACCACAGCAAGACAAAAATGGCAGGTCGCATCCACTTTGGAGTTCTGGTGTAATAATAAAAGAGCCCTGAGATCTCATCCCAGCCCCACTCCGGGGACAGCGCCCCACGTGCACCCCCTCTGGGCAGCTCCCCGACTTGCCTCGCCTCTCCGCTATCTGCAGGTAGCCTGTGGAGAGGTACTGCTCCATGTCCTGCTGGAAGGCTTCCTCAAAAAACCTCTGCCGCTCCTTCAGCTTCAGCTGCTGGGTCTGCTCCATCTCCAGGACCTTTTGAGAGTGCGCCGCATCGAGTTCAGCTGAGGAGGCAGAGAGATGTGGGTCAGGGTTTGCAAAGGGACTGAGACGGGAGCGAGTATAAAGACCCACTCACAGGGTCAATCTTGTTGACGTGGCCTCCCACACCCGTGCATCCACCTTGACCTCGCCCGGCTCGGCCCGGCACCCAGGAGACACCCAGCAAGCACGTGGCCACCGGGGTCTGCGAGAAGAGTGCCTGGCCATGAACCAGCCACTTGGCTGAGTGGGTTAAGCTTGCAGAGCCTTGTGCCAACTCGTCTGAGCAGGATGGAGGTGTGAGCGGACTCCACACTGGTCCCCATGGTGCAACACAAATGTGTCAAATCAGCATGATGTATACTTTCATCTTGCACAATGTTATATGTCAGTTATATAAAAAAATTAAAACTCTTTAAGAAAAAAGTCTTAATGGTGTTACCAACTGATTTTAACCAAAAAGCAAGACCAGAATTTGAAGTGAACAGTGGTCTCTGAGGCCCCACGGGATGGACCTTAATCATTCCCTCCATAAATACTCAACACCATGTGTCACAGCTCCCGGGTACAACATGATCCTCTGCAGAGATGGTGAAAACTTGATAATGGTGTATATTTTTAACCCCTAATCAGTTACAGTCATCAACATTCAGAATACTCTGGATATTCTTGTATCCTGATCATACACGCAAGGAATGCGAACCAGTACTAACGGGAAGGTAAATCTTCCCGACGCCTGCACTCACAGGGAAAGGCAACGATGTGCAGTCTCCTCACTGACAGTCACTGCGCACTCCCAGATTTTACCTGTCACCTTGACGTGCACCCCCCAAATATCTCTCCCCACAGGGACGTGGTGTGAAAAGCGCATGGGGCTGGGCTCGGGCCTGTCCCCTTTTAGCAGATGCTTCTGCACGTCACATCACCCCCCTTTAGCCCACATCTGGTTTCTTTATGAGCTCATCCATACACCCATGAGTCTTCACTCAAGGTTCATCTCACGTGTTTCCGGTCAGAGTTCTCTCAAGCCCAGGGACCCATAAACTGGCCCAGCCCAGGAGTTCCCGGGGACGGAGGCAGCTCTTGACCAGTTGGTGACAGCAGTCAGGGCATCCGTGTCCCGCCTCCCAGCCACTGGGTGGACAACTCCGGGGGTATTCTGAACACTTCTCAGGGATCTTGGAGGGGCTGCAGTGGTGGCCAACCCCACATCCCTCTGTCAACATTTCCTCCTTGCCCCCTCACCCCTGCGTCCCTGGATCACCTTCCAAACAAATCACTTGGAGCAAAATCCTCATCTCAGGCTCTGCTTCCCAAGAAACCCAAGCAAGGATGTCTAGTACCAGCTACAACTAACAGCCTCACTGGGCTTCACTTTCCTCCTCTGTACAAGAGAGAAACTTATTTCATAGGGGTGTTGGTGGGATTAAATAGGAGGTAACATGAGAACCACCAGGCACACAGTATTGACCAACAGCTGATGGCTAATATTATGACCAGCGTTACTATTAGGAAAAGGACATGATAGGAAATGTTACCAGGACCAGGATGAGTACGGCGTCCTGTCCTCACGGAGTCACCCCAGCTCTCTCAGGCCCATGCAGACTCTTCAGAACAAATCACCTATCAGTGCCCCTAATTTAATGTGCAAGGAATTGAGAGTGTACTTGCAAGAGGGACAAGGGAATTCAAGAGGATGTTTTTTCATTTATTTCACTTCAGCCGTCACCCTATCTGGTCAAATGCTTGATGACTGCCAAGTGCATTAGAATAAGTCAACAACTCGAATAGATTAAGTATGCTTCAAACACTTCAAATGAAGTTCAATAACTCTTAAAAAAAAATTTCCAAAATAGGCAGCTCAGAAACAAAGATCAATGCAGAAATCATCAAAGGGGTTTTCATTAAAGAGTATCTTTTTTTATCTTAAGATTTTCTATAGATATATAATTAACGTAACTTGAAAACTTTCTTCTCAAGACTTGTGCCTCAAAAGTCCAGTTCTCTCATGTTTCTGAATGATTAAGTCCTGTAGTTTTTATCGTAAGTCTTCTATGTTGGAATGAAATCTAATCATGTTCCAGCCCTCTCAAAAGGTAGGGGATGGTTGGATTAGCAAACTTAAAATGACTTAAAGGAAAATAATCACTGTTTTAAGACATGTTCCCTAGTTATTTGAAACATCCCCAAGCTCCCTTTGTCATTTCCCACTTTATTTCAGAGCCCCTCTTGTATCTCAGGGCTGAATTCTCAGCCAGATTCACTGAGAACTGAGTACATTTACTCTACACCAGCTCTGCACTCAGGGCAGTCATGATGAAAGCAGGTATTAAAGTAACTGTCCTGCTCAGCAGCTGAGGATTCGCCCCCAGCTAGGTGCCTGAGCAAATGTGTTCTGATTGTGCTGTTCTAGAATTATCGGTTCAGCTTTTGCCAAGAAACAACTACATTTGGAAGTGGAGGAATGATGGAAGGACACTGAGGGAGTATTTCAGATCTGGAGGTTTAACATCACCTGGATTTGGGAGAATGACTATGGGAAGACATAAATTATAGAACATTTTCTACAAGGAAAAATGACTGCCTGTTCACATCTAAGATGTCATTTATTATATGGGGGGAAACCTGACAAAGATTTAAAGAACCTCAACAGCTAGCCTAAAGATTAAAAAGAAAACAAAAAACAAAATATTAAAAGATGCTCCCATTTTTCTACCAGGAGTCAGGAGTAATCATTTAATTTCATTATCAGCCCAGGCCCGTGTCTCCTTTGATTTCAACTCCAGGTCACTGCTCAAGCTTTATCTGAGTGCAACTTCCATTCTAGCCTCCACTATCAATTTCAAATGGATAGTTTCTCAAAACAAGAAAAAAGAAAATCCCATTACCAGCAAAGATAGTATAATCAATTCTCAATTATATGTTTTAATGGGGCATAAGGGTAGCACAAAATACATCAAATATAAAAAATCCATCAGGTTCATTTCAGGAACAATTTCAATGTATTCCACAACTAAGTCCATTTAACAGAGCTGATAAGTAATAAAAGACAGGTGTTAATGACTGAAAAACCCTGGGGCTGCTGGGAAGAAGGAAATGGATGATATGAGGAAAACCAGGACAAACCTCTCTGGTAAAAGGGAGAGTCTCTTTAATACAAGAATGTTAAAAGAGAAAATGATAAAATTTAACATGAGTTACAAAAAATTCTGGCAATTTCTACTTATTTTTAAGATTGAGAGCATTTTTCATTCAAGATAAATAATTAAGACTAAGAATAAATTTAAAAGCCTTTTTTTCCCCCTCACTGCACTGCATGGCAGGCGTGCAGGATCTTATTTCCCCTTCCAGAAATCAAACCTGTGCCCCTGCATTAGAAGTAGTGCAGTTTTAACCCCTGGAAGCAACTGACAAGAGATTAATTTTCAAAATATATGAACAGCTCATACAGCTCAATATCAAACTAACAGCCCAATGAAAAAATGAGAAGACCCGAACAGACATTTCTCCAAAGAAGACATACAGATGGCCAAGAGGCACATAAAAAAGATGTTCAACATCGCTCATTATTAGAGCAAGGCAAATCAAAACTACAATGAGCAATGCAAATCAGAACACACCTGACACCAGTCAGAATGGCCCTCATCAAGAAATCTACAAACAACAAATGCTGGAGAGGGTGTCGAAGAAAAGGAATGGGAATTGGTGCAGGCACTAAGGAAAACTGTACAGAGGTCCCTTAAGAAAACCAAAAATAGAACTACCGTATGACCCAGCAACTCCCTCCTGGGCACATAACCCAGAGAAAATCATAATTCAGAGGGATATATGCACCCCCGTGTTCACCCCAGAGAGCTTGTTCAGATCTCACCAGTCACGTATGCACGCGTGTGAGTGTACGGGGTGGGGGAGCTCTACGCAGGCTCGCGGATAACCACACTCAGGATGTCATATTACCACAAGGCTTCTCCCGCTGCCCTCTGGTGATCACACCCTCCCCTCCCTCCTGCCTCCCCCTCCCTAGTCCAAATCTGTGATCATGTCATCTCACAAAGGTTACATAAATGAAATCATGTGGTACATAGTCTTCTGAGGTTGGCTTTTTTCAGTTGGAATTTCCCTGAGGTTCCTCTCAGCAGCTGCTCATGTTGCTAACTTGTTCCTTTTTGCTGCTGAGCTGGGGGGGGGGGGGGGGGACCACAGTTAAGTTTGACTAGTCACCCACCGAAGGACACCTGGATATTATGAGTGAAGTTGTGAGGAGTGTTTGTGTACCAGCTTATGGATGAAAACAAGTCATTTGAGACAAACACCCAGAACTGTAATCCTTGGGTCATATGGTGAGTGAGTGCACCTTTTGGTTTTGAGAGGAACTGCCAGACTTTTGCAGAGCGGCTCCCGTCCCCGATGTCCGGGTGACCTCTTGCCTCGACATCCTCAGCAGCATTTGCTGAGCCCCACAGACCGTGTGCTCAGGGAATCGTTTCCTTCCCTTCTCCTTTTCCCCAGAGGAGGTGTCTGTCAGAAACAAGGCTCGACTTCCTCTTAATTACTTTCAATAACTGCTATTATTTAAATAGAAAACATTTAGTTTTAGAAAAACTCTACACAGGAACTGGGGACTTGTTAAATGAAGACAAAAATGTACATGATTTCCTTCCAGTTTTAAACCCCCACCTCTTCTGTATTTTTACCATTTAACAGTTAACTTTTATTTCTATCTCAAATGAGTTTTCACAATAAGGCACACTCAACCATTTTTAAAATCACCCCAACCTTCTGCCTCACCTTTAAAAAATGAATGCAAATTGTCTCAGATTGGACAAAAAGAGCTTTAACTAATACTGTCCTAGAATGGTAGGTTTTAAACATTCTTTTAAAATACCAACTTCTCTGTCCTATGTTTCTACAGTTTTTAAGAGTTTTCTGTCTAGCCTTCATCAACAATTAGTTTCCAAGACAGATTTACAGTTATTTTATACCATATATTATTTCTATGAGTATTCAAAAGTATTATAAGAGC